AGTGTTTTCACCCCTGATCCTCTCAAGCTTCTAGTTCTCCTGACGCATACCCTCTGCCTGAGCTGATCAAGATCACAAATGGAGAATCCACGGATATCCTCATACATGTCACTGGAGTAGAAGATCCAGCTGACTTGCGGCTCAGAGCGTCCTCAACCACGTTCGCTTTACCTAGGTGGTAAAGGATCTCACAGTCGTAGTCCTTGACAACGTCAAGCCACCTACGCTGCCTCATGTTCAGGTTCGGCTGATCCATGAGGTGCCTTAGACTTTTGTGGCCCGTGTATATGGTACAGCGGACCCCATAGAGGTAATGTCTCCAAATCATGAGAGCGAACACCACCGCTCCCAACTCCAGATCATGAGTAGGGTATCTCGTCTCATGCTGCTTCAACTGTCGCGATGCGTAGGCTATCACTCGTCCTCTCTTCATGAGGACCGCTCCCAGTCTTGTGATGGATGCATCACAGAATGCCACAAAATCCTCAACTCCTTCCAGGAGAGTAAGGACTGGATCCTCGCATAGTCGTTGTCTCAGGGTCTCAAACGCCCTCTGCTGCTCGGGGCCCCACCGGAAATCCACCCCCTTCCTCGTCAGACGAGTGAGGGGTACTGTAATCTTGGAGAAATCCTGTATGAATCTCCGGTAGTACCCTTCCATTCCAAAGAAGCTCCTGATATCTGAGGGAGATTTCGAAACCTCCCACTGCATCACCGCCTTGATTTTGGCCGGATCGACCAAAATCCCCTCCTGGTTAACGAGGTGTCCAAGAAATTGAACCTCTCGTAACCAAAACTCGCACTTCGAGAATTTGGCATAAAGCCATTCTCGTCTCAAAACTCCCAATAGCTCCCGTAGATGCTCCTCATGCTGCTCTCGGGTCTTGGAGTACACCAAGATATTGTCTATTAACATGATGACCGAGCGATCGAGCATCGGCCTGCAGACCCGAATCATCAGATCCATAAATATTGTCAGTGAGTTGGTGAGCCCAAACGGCATCACCACAAACTCGTAATGTCCATAACGATTCCGTAACGCGGTCTTCTCCACGTCCTCCTCTCTAACCCTGACCTGATGGTACCCGGACCTCAAGTCTATCTTGGAGAACCAAGATGCTCCCTGCAACTGATCGAAAAGATCATATATCCTCTGGAGTGGATAACGGTTTTTCACCGTTAACTTGTTCAACTCCCGAGGCACTCCGGGTAACTCCAGAGGATAGATGATCTTTTCGATCTAGGTAGGGACCCTTTTAATATAGCAGCACCCTTTTTAATATATACTAGTGTAGGGACCGCTTATTTTTTTTTCTTTTTCTTTTTGGATTCTCACAAAGCTCAAGGACCCTCTAGAAATCACCAAAGATCATTGATTTCAAAGTTTACATTTCTTGAAAATAATTATTACTATTCGTGTATTATTAACATGTATGACACGACACACATATGGACGGGTTTAAAGGGTGACAAGTTGTCACCCTTTAAACCCGTCCATGTGTGTGTCGTGTCATACATGTTAATAATACACGAATAGTAATAATTATTTTCAAGAACTGTAAACTTTGAAATCAATGATCTTTGGTGATTTCTAGAGGGTCCTTGAGCTTTGTGAGAATCCAAAAAGAAAAAGAAAAAAAAATGAAACGGTCCCTACACTAGTATATATTAAAAGAGTGCTGCTAATAAGACACCCCTTAGACACCCTATCATCACTTTTACAAAAAGTCAACCTATAATCAACTACTTGTAATCAGCTTTTTCGGAAAACAATGCAATTTCAACCAATAAAAATACTTCAAAAATTAATTAGGGTTGTCTAAATAATAAAATGAGGTGTCTTTTTAGCCAACCTCATATTAAAAACAAAGTTTTGCATGGGTCCTACACCAGTATATATTAAAAACAAAGTTCTTTATCAATAGTTAATTATTTTGGTTTTGGAGTTTTGCCGACCTACTTTTATACTTTTGGCAGCATAGGCCCTTCTGTTTGTGATTACACTTTACAATTTAACAACATTCCTCTTTACCTAATAGAAAGACTATCGTTTTCGGCTCAAACAATTCAATTGGGCTAAATCTCTTGGTAGGCTAAACTAATTCAATTTAAGTAAGCTAGACTAAACATTTTCTTAGTAGACTACCTTATAGGGCCTTATAAACGATTTTGGGTAAAATGATGATAAAAGAAAAAACTGAACATCGAACGAACATCTGACCTTCAGCTGGTATCGTACACAAAAATATGAGTAAGCAAAACATCTCATGCGTCTCTGCTCCGCTGGGAATGACATTTTCTAGTTAAAAATGAAATTAAAAGACAAAACAGTTTTATCAAATTTTTCAAAAAATAAAAACCATAAAAAAAATAGACCACTATACATGTTAAGTTAAAATTTTATTTTTTTTAAAAAGATTTTACTTCGTCCACAGTTTTATTTTATTTTTATTGTTTTTTTTCGAACCACCTGTTTTGCACTTTATTCTTTTTCTTTAAAAAAAAAGCAGGTCCCCTGTAGGGTGGGAATTATTTTGTCCGGAACCGAAAAACCCAAAAACCAAATCGAACCGAAATTGATTTCAGACCAAACCATATTCAAATTCGGTTTTTGGTTTGGTCTAAGACCAAACCGAATTGTGAATTTGGTTTTTGGTTCGAGTTTCGTTCTCATGAAGTTTAAACCAAACCAAACCGAAAACCGAATTTTATAAATTAATTAATTTAAAAATACATTATATATTTATATATTAAATAAAAAAATATTAGTTATAAAGTAAAAATTATTTTAGCTCATTTACTATTTTACGTAGGATTAAACTTGATCAATTCAAGGCTTCAACGCAACCCTCACGAAATTCCAATCGTCAAAACTCGATTCCTCAATTGCCATTCCCGCTCGTAAAAATTATTTTAGCCTATTTACTCTATCTCATTTACTATTTGCAACTTTATGTTTCTATGTTTAAAACATTGTAATTTATGTTTGGAAAATTGCTAACACTAATTTTTATTTTAATGTAATATTTAGTTTCCTCGGTTTTCAAACCGAACCAAACCGAATTAGAATTTGGTTTTCGGTTAATCGGTTTGGTCTGGAGAATTTGAATTCGATTTGGTTCAGTTTTCGATTTGGACCAGAAAATTTTTCAAACCGTGGAAACCGATTCGAGAAAACCGAAGAAACCGTAAACCAAACCGATTCCCACCCTAGTTCCCTGTTCATCCCGAGACCCGACCCAGAATGCAATCAACTAGACTTTAATATATCGTTTGTGCGGACCAAAACACTTTTTTGGTGAAGCGAAATCATCGACGTTCCAAACCGATTCCCACCCTAGTACCTATTGCTATTGCTTCTTAAACCACGCTAGCTAACGACTGAAGTTCCTCACCCTATATGGTATATGAACTCTCAAGAACTACTTGATTTCGTTTCTCTCCGAGAGGATTTGGATGTTAATGCGTGATCACACAGGCATATTTCTTCTCCTATTAAATCAGGTCGACATAGTTATAGTCACTATTTGCAGTACTTGACATCCAGCTTTTTTCTGTTTACTCATGTCTAGTCTTCGATAGAGTGATCACATACCGATATGATACTAAACGCTAACTTTTTTCTCTATATTGGACATATGCATTTTACCCCAGCTTTGAAACTTTATTAATTTCAGTCATTCTCATGTTCCTCGGTTTTAAATGTCAGTGAGATTATTTCTGTGTACGAGCACTTAGAAACATACCAGTTTTATATGATTCTTATTGCTTAGGTTTTTATGTTCTCATTAAATTTGCATTGCCTAGCTTGTTGTTTCATTTTTACTTCATTTTCCCTAGCTTTCTCATACTTGATTACATAAGAAATCATGAAATTGTTATCTTAGATTAATTAATTTCTCCTGATTTTCTCCCTTATACAATAATTTTGTTTGTTATCAGGGTTTTAATAGTTTTTCTTAGATATGTACCTTTTTACAAAAATATTTTGACCATGTCACTGATTTACAATCTGCAATTGGAGTCTTTGTTCAGATCATTCATCTACAATTTCCAATTACTGTTGTTATTAAGACTTAAGAGCATTTATCTCTTATACAACTACTGCTAATTTTCTCCCTGGTTGCAATTAGACATAAGACTTATGATTTTGGGATAAATAATGTTGGTAAGATAAGTATTCACATCATGTTAAAGTATCTTATCTACCAAGAGGATGATCAGTACATTCATTTTTCTGATAGCTATTGTAAGTAACGTCAAGTTTAAAAATAACAAGCTTACTAAGGTTTGTAGGAGATGGAGAAGAAATTGTGTTACCTCTCATTATAAAAACTAGTTAGTTGAGATGAAGTGTGTTTGGATGATGTTGACTTTATTTCAGAATAGCTAGAGCCTTTTTATTAAACCTTACCTATGCTTCTTGTGGTCTTATGGTCTGACAATGGTTAAACATATTCTGTCATTCATCTATTAGAAGTAAGAAATTGTTTACATGATATCAACTAATGTTTTTATCTTTCAGCTTTGTTTATTAAGACGATGATGGATGCGTGATTGAAGTTACTTTGTTACTTTTAGGATTCCTAGGATTTTCAATGTACCATGGTGTACGGAAATTGTTTCATGGCTCATTAATTTCTTGAAAAATGTTTTTTTTTTTTGCAGGATTTTGTAAACTTTGATGATGGCAATGTACGACGCATGTTATAATGTATATGCTTTCCCTTGTTTGTGAATCTTGTATTTTATGTTGAATATTTATTGTTTTGTTTTGCAAGTTTAGGAATGGCCAAGACAAGGAGTATGAGTAGAAACCAGAATCATGATGATGCACCTACCAATAAGAGATTTTATGCCAAGGGCTATTCAGCAGCAGTTGGTCAGATGTTAACCATGATGTGCTTTTTTTGATTATGATGCAACTGGGGATTGTTGATTTTGTTTGGTTTAGTGGAGTTTGCAAGTCATGGAGATCACTCGCACTCTCTAACTGGAAGATGTTTATGGCATCCAGACTCCCTGTTTCTATACGAATCACTTATCGACCTTATAAGAAGAAAGAGTGCTTCTTAGAGGACTTTGAAGGAAGAAAGTTGAAAACTCTCCTTCCCCATTCTGGTGGCAGGGAGTTTGTTGGATTAAGTCGTGGTTACTTGGTCTTTTTTGGAAGGAAAACTTGTGATTTCTGGCTTGTAAATCCTATCACAAGGCATGAACTTCATTTTCCTGCTCACCCCTTCTCTAGATATTTCCGGCCAACACGCTTGAAGGTTATCCTTGTCTTTTCCCCTTGGGTAGTATCTGAGTGGGTGCTTGTGGTTTCAGCAAGATACTCTCATTCAATATGGTTTTCTGTATCTGGTAGTGGATCGTGGATCCGCTCCAATACTTCTTCTCAAATATATGATCTACATTTCTTCAAGGAGAAGATATATGTCTTAACCAGAAGCTGTTTTTATGAATTTGAACTCTATCCAATGCCTGAATTTATTTTACTCCAAACCAAGAATTTACCACGTTTATACTTGACTGGGGAGTTTGTAAGTACGGCTGCAAACTTGTATCTGATGCATTGCCCATCAAGCGATTCGGTTTTGGTCCAGCTAGATTTTGATGACAGGAAGTGGGTGAGCTGTGAAAAGATTGAAGAATATGCTGCTGTTAAACTTGGGATGTGGGCTGATATTCGGTCAAAGTGGTACCTTCTGCATGATTGTTTAAATGTTAATCTCATACACAACGAGCCATAGACGTATGTATGATAAGTCAAACTTGATTTGGATTTGAAACATTTCAATATTTTGTGATCCGATGGTGGATTTGAATTTTGTAGTTTATTGTTTAAACATTTTGGTTGTCAGTCGCGTTTTGCTTGAGTTGGCATTAACTTTACGAGTATTATCTTATTTTCATGTGATTTTTCTCTTTTGCTTTTGTATGTGTGGCTAATGCATGATTGTTAGGTTTTTGCGATTAAAAGTTAGAAGCATTACATGAATGGATACATACATACCGCGAGGCTATGTTTAACAAAGGTGGGTCACTTGACCCTCCTATTTTTTTTTTAACAAGTTTTATAGAAATAAAAATTATTAACTACCCTAAATCTTTTAAGTGAACTACCTTAATGTTATTGAAAAAAAAAGTATAAATCAAGATTTTCAAAGCTCATATTTTATATTTTAATAGCCAAAATAACTAATTCATTCTAATAAAAATAGCTCTAAATTTAAATAAAAATATCATTTGACAATTAGCAAATGTCATTTTCTTCACTTGTTAGAGATAAAACATTCACTTGTTAGAGATAAAACATTCACCACGTCACTATGTATTGATTATTTTACTATTGTCTCATTGTTATTATAATTTTGTATGACGGTATGCCGTAGGAGAGGTTCATAGGCTAGTAACATCTAATCTTGTCAACTTGATTTATTTAGTGTGTTTTTTCATTAGGCATTAGCATATAGATGGTTTTTTTTTCTTTTTTTTTTTGAAAATATAGCAAGATATAAGACCTCTTCGGGTACAATTGTTAAAACTTTGAGTCTTTTTTTTTCTTATATGACCCGACCCGAATTTGGACCAGCAACTAGTATTTTTTTTTTTTTCATTTTTTATCAGTTTCATTTAAGGGGGTGTTTGGGATTGTTTTTTAGCCTAAAAAGTCCTTTTCAACAAAATGACTTTTTGTCTTATAGCTTTTTGCAAAAGAAGGTTTTAAAATGTGTTTGGATTATCTTTTGAGGGAGCAAAAGCTAAAAAACTAAAAGTCACAAAAAGTCACAATTTCTAGCTTTTAAAATCACTCATTTTTCTTCTTGCCAAAAGTCATTCTAAAAGCACTTTTAGAATTGTCAAACACCTTTTCAAGCTTTTAACTTTTTGGAAAAGCTAAAAATTCAAAAAGTCCTTTTGAAAAGTAATCCCAAACACCCTCTAAATAGTGAACCATGTGGCTTTACGATCTAGACTCGCCACTACTTTCAAAAGTCTAAGGTTTCCTTATCCACATGTACAAAAATCTTCAACCTAAATTTGGTATACAACCCCTGAAGTACCATCTAGCACCACCGTGCACCAGCACTACCTACGTACAATTACATCTCTAGTGAGCACCACTAAACATGCACAAAAACAAAAGTAAGTTGAAGTAGGAATCTCATACCATTTAAACGGATCAGACCTTGGACTTTAGAACACATATTCCATGATCTAATCCATTTCTTCTTAGCATTTTCATCACCAAGTCAGCAATGAAACTATCAAGGTAAGCTTTACCATGGTCGAACAAGACATTGTTGCAACCTCATCCACAATTCCAAGCCCTAAATCGCTACCAAAATATGCATTGTACCTAAATGTTATATATAACTTATCGGTAAACAAAATGTTAATACATCTCTCTTATGACTAAGATATTGTTAGTGTGTTGTTATTATGTCAAATAAGATGCAACTATGTTGTTATGGATTACATAACTCTGTTAATGGTAAAAAATTAAGCATGTTGCTATTGTATGTAAATCTATGAAAGTAAATGCTAATACGGGTAAAAAATAGGTATATCGCCTATATTTGTAAAAGGAGTAAAGTACGTAATGTGTGGAAAATAGTGAAACAAGTGGTTGACTTGATTAAGTGTGAAATGCTAATCGGGATATTAAGTAACAATATAAAAAGGCGTCGGGGTTTAATTGAATGAAATTCAAATTTGAGGACCAATGTGTAATTTGTTGAAATGCAAAATTATAAATAGCTAATTTGAAAATTCAACCTCACAATTCTTTCGTATATTTCCAGTGATGAAGGCAGGTTAACATTAACATCGATATGCATCGGACTTGGATTGAGGAGAGAAACGAAGATATGGAAGACTACTCAGCAATTGGAAGTAAATAGGTCAGCAATCGACCTGTTTTTGTATCAGTGGTAATGCTTGATCTGGATCAGAGTACAGTAGTCGGTTGAGCAAGGTATGTTGAAAAGATATTATTGCGATGTTCTTTTTCTTTTCTTTTCTTTTTTTTTTCAAATTGATGATAAACTTATGGTAAATAGTTAACATATAACCAAAATCAAGCCTTGGAGTCAACCCAGAAGAGATCAGGTAATTTGTCAGATTTTGGGAGTTGTTTGTCATATGAATAATAGTTGATTTAATATAGAAATTGATGTTTATGAAACGAATCAAAGGCATTGTGGATTTTAATTAAGGCTCATGAAATTTTTTAAAACCATGAAAGAAAATGGATGACACACCTTCTTGGTACTGCATTCCCAGCTAGAACTTTATCAGACATGAGTACTGGGTGTGTGTTAATTCTACTGAAATCATTTTGACATATTTGTCAGTTGATGCATTTTGAGTTGGTATATCATCTTTAGCCTATAAATTGGTGGTTGGTAAGTTTGAACTTTGAGGTAGAAATTTGTGAGTTTGATGATATTTGGATGAATTAGTATCATTGTATATGTCAAAGTTTGTGGTTTGGTATTATGATAAATATAATTAAGTCTTTATTATAAATCGTTCTAGTTTTTAAACATTTTTCATTATAACTTAATCTAATTGTAAAAAATATTTATATTCTATACTAATAATAATATTTATCTTTTTTGGAAATCTTTCATTAAAACAAAACATTGGAATCTCATACTGTCATGGTATGAAGCAAGTAGCTTATGTGAGAGTCCATGATTATGCCAACATAAACTACTAAAAGTATAACTCGAAGAAATCCAATTGAAAGCAACACAGTCTTATGCTTAAAACACATATATTTAACAGTAAAATAGACTAAAATCCCTTGAAGTTCTTCTACACCTTCTCCTTTCCCTTTGAACGTGAAGCTATCACACCTCCTGAACCTGGTAATACATGCTAATTAAGGTTAGCTTTATGCTGGTGTAAGCTCATGGTTTTCTATATATATAGAAAGTAACTCATCAACAATCATAAGATGTGTATTCCAAAAAAAACATGGTTATTGTATTCGGTTAATCTTATGTAATGATTGCGTTAAAGTAAAAAAATAATAAAATAATAATAATAATAATAATTTAAAAAATAGCCCTTTTTTCAAAGTCATATTCTTTTCTGGATGAAATGCAAAAAGCACTTTCAATTTGGTTGAGGGTTGAGACCCCACGCACAACACAAATTATTGTCTTCAAAGTTGCTATGAAGGTGTAAGATTATTAAAGGAATTATGGTACCTTGGTTTCTCCATGTGCTATGAAGTGGCCTCCTTATCCATCTGTCCTTCCTCTTTGTGAACCGATCACGATACCTTTCATATAGAAAGTTCCCAATAAAAATCCCAAAAACCAATCCACTTCCAACTCCACAGGATACGAATATCCAATCAATTATTTCGTTTGGGAGTAGAGACTCAGACTCATACGTATTGCTTGTTGGGGGAAGCCTTGATGCCTTTGAACTTTGACATTCCTCGGATAAAGGTCTTCCACACAATTGTAGATTCCCCATGTAGGAGTCGTTCTCAAATGTAGCAAATTGATTCCCTTGTGGTATGCGTCCATCAAGATGGTTGAATGACACGTTGAAAATGGAAAGGATGTTGAGTTGCAACAAGTCTTGAGTGTTGAACACGACTCTTTGTATGGGAAACAAAAAGACTTTTATTAAGACACTTAAGAAGACCTTACACTTTGTGAGACTACTACACACTTTGCTCTCTTTGAGGCTTTCTTGGATGGTTTGGAGCAAATGAGCTCCACACCTATTTATAGGCCTCTTAGGAAGGTTCTAGATACTAGTATACACTTACTACCTACTAGATAACTCTAGAACTATCTAACATACTCTATATGCTTCCATATGTTTCTAGAATATTCTATCATGTTCTGGAGAGGTCAAGGTTGCTCCAGTGTCTTCTAGAATGATCCATAACCTTCCAGGGTCTTCCATGTCGTTCTAGAGTATTCTAGACTCTTCCGGTATATTCCGGAGTCTTCCATAGTCTTCCATAATGTTCTAGAATCTTCTAGAGCGTTCTAGAACAAGCTAAAGTCTTCTAGATAATATTTGTTCTATTGGGCTAGTGATGATCTTTAACACTCCCCCTCAGCACTAGCCCTCATTCTTCGTACCATGTTAAGCTGACAACGAAAACCTTCACATTTTCCAATACTCAGTCCTTTGGTGAACAAGTCTGCTATTTGGTCATCGGTCTTGATCTGTCGCATCTCAATTTCTTCCATCAAGACTTTCTCTCTGATAAAGTGATAATGCACTTCCACATGCTTTGTTCTAGCATGAAATACTGGATTTTCTGCCAGCCGAATTGCAGATTGGTTATCGCAGTGAAGTGGTACCGCATAGTCAACTTTTTGATGTAAGTCCTCCATTAGGAGTACCAACCATGTACTTTCTTGAGCTGCTACGGCCGCTGCTTTGTACTCCGCTTCTGTGGTTGACAATGATACGGTTGGTTGTCTTTTACTACACCATGATATTGGCCCCGACCCAAGCTTGAACACATACCCAGTGGTTGATCTTCGGGTATCATGGTCTCCTGCATAGTCAGCATCACAATATCCAACCAACTTGCAGTCTTCTCCTTTTTTATACAAGAGACCATAGTCAATTGTACCTTTGACATATCTTAAGATCCGTCGGGCAGCATCCAAATGAGGTTTCTTCGGATTTTGCATGTATCGACTCATAACTCCAACTGCATAAGCAATGTCAGGCCGAGATAAAGTTAGGTAGATAAGACTACCTACTAGTTGTCGATACATCGTTCCATCGTCCAACTCTTTTCCTTCATTAGCACATATCTTGGTATTTGGCTCTATTGGTGTTGATACTGGCTTACACTCCAACATGCCAAACTTTTGAAGTATATCTCTTGTATACTTTTGTTGGCAGAGGAACAACCCTTCCTTTGTACGATCAACTTCTAACCCCAAGAAGTGTTTAAGCTCCCCCAGCTCTTTCATTTGGAATCGCACCGATAGATTTTCTCTTGTTTGATGGATTTCTCTTTCGTCATCCCCGGTGATGATCAAGTCATCCACATAAACCAACACAATTGCCAACTTCCCTTCTTTTTCTTTGACGAACAGGCTTGAGTCTGCATGTGCAACTGAATAACCACTTCGGGTAAGAAATTCAGCAATCTTACCATACCAGGCTCTTGGTGCCTGCTTCAATCCGTAAAGAGCTTTTCTCAGCTTGCACACATGAGTGGGATTAACTGCATCCTCAAATCCCTTTGGTTGGTTCATGTAGATCTCCCGATCTAATTCTCCATGCAGGAAAGCATTCTTCACATCCATCTGCCATAATTTCCAGTCTTTACTAGCTGCAAGAGCTAGCAGCACCCGTACAGTAGTTATCTTCGCCACTGGACTAAATGTTTCATCATAGTCCAGTCCATATTGTTGTGAAACCCTCGAGCCACCAAACGAGCCTTGTATCTTTCAATTGATCCATCTGTGCGTCGCTTTAATTTATAAACCCACTTGCAGGAAATGGGTTTTATATCTCTTGGTCTTGGTACCAGTTCCCACGTTTGATTCTGCTTTAAGGCTGTAACTTCTTCTTCCATTGCCTTCTGCCAAGCTTTATTCTTAATTGCTTCTTCATATGTCTCCGGCTCTTTAACACCGTCTTCTAAAATAGCCGCATTAGCATACTTGGGATTAGGCTTTCGGATTCTTTCCGTCCTTCGAAGTTGTGGAGGCGGCGTCTCCCTTTCACCGGCATTACTTGTTTGAGTTACTTCTTGCTCAATGACATCAGTGTCGCTCGGATCTTCAGGTGTATCAACACTTGACCAAATGTGTGCAGTTTGCTCCCCCATCTTTTGTTTTAAAACTTCTTCAATATTTTCCGAGTCTGGTAATACTTTCTTCTCTAAGGACCACCATGAAGATGCTTCATCGAACACTACATCTCTTGAAGTGTAGCATCTTCCGCTTGTTGGATCACAACACCTCCATCCTTTTCTTTGATTGTCATATCCAACAAATATACACCTGACTGCTTTCTTGTCAAACTTGCTACGTAAATGACTAGGTACAAATACGTAGCAGACACAACCAAATACTCGAAAGTAGCTAACAGTAGGTTTCATGTTCCATAGTGTCTCAAATGGTGAGATGAAACCTAACCTTGGTTGGGGAAGTTTATTGATCACATGGGCAGCAGTTCGCATTGCTTCAGCCCAAAATCTTCCTGGGACATTCTTCGCGTGTAGCATGCTTCGACAAATTTCTGCAAGATGTCGATTCTTTCTCTCAGCTACACCATTTTGTTGAGGTGTGTTGGCACATGTGAATTGATGACGTATACCACATTCTTTTAGATAGCTATTGAATTCTTCCGAGGTGTATTCTCCTCCATTGTCTGAGCGTAGACACCGAATCTTCTTTCTCACTTCTCCTTCGACCGTTGTCTTGAATTCTAGAAACTTTGAGAATGTTTCAGATTTTTCTTTCATGAAGAAAACCCACACATATCTCGAATAATCATCAATGAATGTCACCATGTACCGCATCCCGCTAATTGATGTCTGCTTGACTGGACCGAACACATCCGAGTGAATTAACTCTAGTGGCTTCTTTGCTCTAAAATTTGACTCCTTGTATGGTAATTGATGAGCTTTACCATACTGACATCCAGCACAAACAACATCTGTTTTAACTTCAAGTTGAGGTAAGCCACTGAGCATGGATTTCTCCATTATTACCTTCAACTTGTGATAACCAACATGTCCCAGCCGTGCATGCCATAGATCTGCTGTCTCGTTCTTACGAGTCTTATCTACATAGGCAGACTCTGCGGAGAGAACATAGACGGACTCCACTCTCCGTCCTTCCATTGTTGGCTTTTCTGATATTTTAAGATCTCGATAGACCTTCACATCTTGTGGGCCAAACAAGACGTAGTTTCCTGATGATGTTAGTTGCGATACCGATAACAAGTTCTTCTTCATACCTGGCACGTGATAGACATTATGTAGTGACACCATGTCAGATTTATTACCAGGCATGATCGTTGTTTTGCCAATCTGAGCAATTGGAAGTCGTGCATTGTTGGCTGTAAGTACCATGCGACTCCCTTTGTACTCCTTCACGTCTTGTAGTTTGTTCTGATCACCAGTCATGTGATTGGAGCATCCTGAATCAATGATCCAGTCATTCTCATAGTTGATACGCTCTCCCATCATTGCCATGAGCGCCAACTCGTTTTCTTCTATGGCGCATAATGCCTCAGCATCCCATTCATCCTCTATTTCCTTTTTGGAAGTTACGACATTGCTTTCCACAGACTTTTTCTTTGACCAACAATCTTTGGACATGTGGCCCCACTTTCCACAATTGTTGCAGTTGCCTTCGAACCTCCTCCCCCGAGAACTCTTATTGTCGGTCTTTTGAGATCTCCATGGTTGTGAGGTTCCTGGCTGACTCTTCCCTTTGTCAGCATTTTTGTATCCTTCTTTAGAAGGTGGCTTGAAATTCCTCCGACTTTTACTTGTGTAGAGTGTTTCTTCTTCACTCTTCAGCGTGATGCCTCCCATTTGCTTAGCCATAGCTTCTTGGCTGGCCAACAAATTCTCAAACTCTACAAGTGATGGTTGAACGGGCCATCCTTGTACAGCAGTAACGAAGCTTCTATATTCCGGCCTCAGTCCATGGATGATGATCCTCTTCATTCGAGCTTCTGTAATGACGGATTGCGGATCTAGTTCAGTAATCTCCCGACATATCGACTTGACCTTGTGGAAATATTGAGCAATCGTCATGTCACGTTGTGAGATTGATAATAGCTCGTTCTCCAAAAGTTGTAGTCTTGTATCATTCTTCTTTGAGAAAAGCATCACAAACGTGTCCCAAGCTTCTTTCGGTGTGTTCTCGTCCCGAATATGCTCCAACATCTCTTCTTCGATTGTGGTCTTCAAGGCAAACATTGCTTTGCCTGCTTTGATTTTCCATTTGCGTAGAGCGCCATTAACATCTTCCTCCGGAGGCGTGGTTTCGCTTCCGCCAACGACCTCCCATAGATCTTGTCCTTGTAAGTAGGACTTCATACATGTTTCCCATGTTTTGTAGTTGTTGTTGTTGAGTTTCTTGATTCCTCCGACGACTTGGAGATCACCCATCGTGTTGGCAGTACCTCGGTAATACCAAACAAGCTAGTTTCGACACTAAACTTGCAGAGTCACAAACTACTCACGATACAACGAGAATCACTCGTTCTCACTATCAAGAAACCTTGCTCTGATACCAGATTGTTGAACACGACTCTTTGTATGGGAAACAAAAAGACTTTTATTAAGACACTTAAGAAGACCTTACACTTTGTGAGACTACTACACACTTTGCTCTCTTTGAGGCTTTCTTGGATGGTTTGGAGCAAATGAGCTCCACACCTATTTATAGGCCTCTTAGGAAGGTTCTAGATACTAGTATACACTTACTACCTACTAGATAACTCTAGAACTATCTAACATACTCTATATGCTTCCATATGTTTCTAGAATATTCTATCATGTTCTGGAGAGGTCTAGGTTGCTCCAGTGTCTTCTAGAATGATCCATAACCTTCCAGGGTCTTCCATGTCGTTCTAGAGTATTCTAGACTCTTCCGGTATATTCCGGAGTCTTCCATAGTCTTCCATAATGTTCTAGAATCTTCTAGAGCGTTCTAGAACAAGCTAAAGTCTTCTAGATAATATTTGTTCTATTGGGCTAGTGATGATCTTTAACATTGAGGAATTTCTCCAGATAGATTGTTTCGGGAGAGATCCAACGCCACAAGATTCTTAAGGTACCCCAACGATGGCAAGACACCTCCAGTAAGATGGTTGTTGGAAAGATCGAGTGCTTGAAGGCCTCGAAGATCTTTGAGTGATAGAGGGATTTCTCCCTCAAAATGGTTACAAGAGAGATCAATAGCCGTGAATATGTTTAGGATATGTTGGTGCTCTGTTCTGGAAGCTTTGTGTATTATTGTCATTGTGTATGGCTTCGTGGACGTGAACGATTCAATAGATTCAACATCATAAACGGATTTCATGGAATTCCATGTTTGGAAGTACTTTTGGTGCAACTGACCATTAAAGTTATTGTTAGAGAGGCCTATGATCCGCAACTTAGGGAATTGTGACCAAACAGTCGTCGAAGATTGAATTGGACCATAAAATTTGTTAGACCGCAACATGAGAATTTGCAGGTTGGGAAGATTTCCCAACCAAGAAGGAAAGACGTCATGGAAAGAGTTATCTTCAAGAGAGAGAAACTCTAAATTGGTACAATTTGTCAATGATCTTGGTAGCTGACCCGTAAATTGATTTTTGCTCAAATCAATATATTCCAACAGACTTCCATGCATAAACACATTCATCAGTACGCCATGAAAGTTATTTTTGTTCAGATCCAAAAGCACCAACGAATTGGTTAATACCAACACATGGAGGAAGAATTCCACTCATGTTGTTAGACGCCAAAAGTAATGCTCGAAGAGATTTCACTTCACATATCAATGGTGGTATTTCTCCAGTCATATTGTTATTTGAGGCGTCATAAGAAACTGTGGTTTGAGGTGGAATTGGTAAATGCCCCTGGACCTGATTATTATTTATGGAAAATCCTTCCAAACGTCTCCATGGGAGAAATTGAGGATGCTGATGAAAGCCAGCGATGGAGTTGTATGAAAGATCAATCACCTGTAATGTTTCTTTGCTGTTGTTCCAGATCCACACGGGTACCATGCCATCAATCTTGTTGCTGTCAAGAAATAAGGCTTCCATTTTATTTTGGAAACGCAAAAAGGTAGGGAATTCCTTCAAGTTACATGTCGACAGTCCTAGGATTTTGAGTTCTGGTAAGGTGCTACTGGTGTGGTTGTTGGTGGCCACTAATGATATCATGTTATGACCTAAGACGAGAGTTTCAAGCTTGTTGAGTCCTAGGAACATGTCTAAGATGACACTCCCACTGAAATTATTGTATTCAAAATCAAGAAATTGAAGACTTTTCAAGTTGGAAAATGAGCTTGAAATTGGTCCTTGCAGTTGATTTCGTTGAAGGTCTAACTGTGATAGTTGGGTGAGGTTGAAAAGCCAGGTTGGTATATGACCAGTAAAAGAATTTCTTCCCATTGCCACCTTACTAAGTTTGGTTAGGTTTGCAAGAAAGGCTGGTATTTCACCGATTATGTCCATATCGTATACAAGCAGTTCATTAAGTTCAGCCATCATGCCAAGCCAGTTGGGCAAGACTCCCTTATCAAATCTGTTATCACTCAGCTCTAAACGAATGAGTTTCGAAAGACTTTCCAATGAAGGAACAAATCATGTGAACTTATTATTACCAAGAGACAAGTAAGTGAGTTTTTTCATGTTGGAGAGTGAACCTGGAATGGGCCCTGAGAAAGAGCAATTGGTAAGGCACAAGACTGTTAAATTTTTTGGATTGCTTATGGATTCTGGAACAATCCCAGAGAAACTTGTATAACGTAGATTCACAAGTTCAAGTGAGCTACTGTTACGAAATTCACCAAAGGCACCTGTGAGGTTTGTATTGAATGACAAATCAAGAATTTTCAACTTGTGTAGCTGAAAAATGGTTGCAGGGAATTCATCTAGAAGCAAACAGTTTTGTAGCCTGATTGACCTTAGAGAAGAAAAGTTTGCCAAGAAATGAGGTACAGAAGAACTAATGTCAACACCTGAGAGATGGAGTTCTTCAAGTCCTGTTAAGTTTTGCACTAGGTTCTTGAAGCCACTAGGATTGTGAAGATTTAGTGAATTCCCTGATAGATCTAAAGACGACAACTGCATCAACCTTGAGATCTCATTCGGGACATGACCACTAAACCCAGAATAAGAGAGATTGAGGCTTCTTAATTGATTTAGATGACCAATCTCAGATGGGATTTGAGAATCAACAAAGTTGTTAATGGCAAGGTTTAGGCTTTGAAGATGAACAAGGCTGAAGAGGGTGCTGGTAGAATTGATATGCCCACAAAGAGAGCATCCGCTCAAGTCAAGGCCGATCACATGACCATACTCATGGTCATTGCTACACTCCACCCCATACCATGAACAACAATCAAAACGAGCATTTGATCCATTACTGGTGGGCTTCCAGGAGTGGAATGTTTGAAACCAACTAGCACCACAAAGCGTTTCGTCATCTTGATGAATTAAGCTTTGCTTAAACTGAAACAAGGCTGAGCATTCATCATCATGTTTATGGAGTCTTGAATAAATTGACAAGTTCCTAAGAATTCAAGGGCCATAAATGAAACTTGTAAATTAAAACAATTGAATATTGAATTGGACGCACTATCAATTGTTTAATAATATTGAAGTGGACGGCGGCTCTATTTTGGACGGCTAAAGAAATCAACGCATTCTTTTTTCAAACTTTGCGGCATATATATATTCTAGTCAAATATAGCGGCAATTTGTGTAAACAAAAGAAAAAGGCTTACGGCTCTCTCCTATATATATATATATATATATATATATATATATATATATATATATATATATATATATATATATATATATTAATTGTAAGAAGAGCGATGTAGCGTAGAACAACAAAAGTGCTGAGTGATATTACCATTTGTAATCTTATAGTGAGTTAATATAAAATCTAGTTGCGCCCGTGGACGTAGGATTTACACCGAATCCGAACCACGTAAAATCCTTGTGTTCCTTCTTGCTTTATTTTCTCGTTTCGTTTGTGTGTGTGATAGTGTGTTTCCGCTGCGTGTACCCGGTCTCAATTCCTAACAACTGGTATCAGAGCCTGGTTAGCAAGGTTTGGAGGGTACGATCGTTTTTTTTATCACGCACGAGTGTACCTGATTTGTCTCTTGTTTGTCATAATAGCTGAAGACAAGGTTGTAATCGAAAAGTTCAACGGTTCTGATTTTAGCTGGTGGAAAATGCAATTAGAAGCATTGCTATGTCAGAAAGACTTGGACGTGGTACTCGGAGACAAACCGGAGAAAATGGAAAAAGCTGTTGAAGATGCGTGGAACTCAAAGGACAAGAAAGCCAAGGCGGTTATTACATTGTCGTTGACGAAGAGCGTTGCTTTCAACATCATGAATGAAACCACGGCGCGTGGTATGATGGAGGCTCTGTCAAATATGTATGAGAAACCATCGGCGGCTAACAAGGTGTTCTTGATGAGGGAGTTGTTTACTACAAGGATGAATGAGGAAGGCTCAGTTACGGTTCACATTAACAATCTAAATTCAATTCTGTCCAGATTATCATCTGTGGGAATTAAATTTGATAACGAGACTCAAGCATCACTGCTACTAGCTTCTCTACCTGATAGCTGGTCCGGAACAGTTACTGCTGTTACGAGTTCCGTGGGGACCAGTGGTATGACTTTTGAAGGGGTTAGAGATTTGGTTCTAGGCGAGGATATCAGACGCAAGAATCAAGGTGGATCTTCTTCTTCTGAGTTATTAAATATCGGAAGAGGGAGAGGGAATAGCAGGAATAGTGGAAGCAGTGGGAGTCGGGGAAGAAGTTCATCTAGAACTAGGAAGAATGTGAAGTGCTGGAACTGCCAGGAGGTGGGACATGTTAAGAGTCAATGTCCAAAGAAAGAATTAAACATTGCCGCTGATGAGAGTGTGTCTGAGGATGATGCATTGTTACTCAGTATGGAAAGTTATGTAGACTCTTGGGTCATGGATTCAGGGGCTTCGTTTCACGCCATGGACAACGGGGAAACGATAGTGAATCTAAAAGAAGGAGATTTTGGAAAGGTACGTTTGGCAAATGACGAGATGCTTCAGGTAACGGGCATGGGAGATATTGATTTGGTTACTTCATTGGGAACTACATGGAGCCTGAAGGATGTCAGGGTGATTCCGGAGCTGAAGAAGAAATTGATTTCTGTTGGTCAGCTGGATAAACAAGGACTGGAAGTAAGGTTTGGTAGTGGTAAATGGAGGGTGGTCAATGGTGATCTGGTGATTGCTCGTGGTATGAAGTGTGGGTCATTGTATATGGTTGAGGTACCTGCTGAGGGAAGTATGACCGTCCCTGTTAAACAAGACAAAATCTGGTTCGCTAAATCTACGGCTAAGAGAGTTCATTTTGCAAACATGAATTCTGGAGCCAAAGAGATGTTAGCTGAATGAGTTCGAAAGTCTAAACCATTCAGGGGATTCTGTGACAGTGGGAGCACGGGACGTGTTTCGGGTACAGTTACAAAGAGCCGTTGGGTTTTGAAGATTAAGACTGAAAAATTCTCTCCTGTTGAATGTTTGCAAAGTTGGGAGAGTGTTAGTGGTCCTCAGTGTATCTCTGGATCTGGTGGAGTGTCCAAACCGGTTGAGACAGAGGATGAGTTGGTGGCGGGATTAGCCACGGCTGAGTTGGAGCTAGTGGGAGCTTCAACTGGCCCTTCTAGTAATTGATGATGAGGGGCGGCTGCAACTAGAGAAATCAGACTAAGTTTTAGCTTGTTCTTTGGAACTGGAAGCCTAAAAGGACTTGGTTGTTTTTTAAGATTACTGGAGTAATTGAGAGTTGAATGGCGGAGAAAAACTAAAGTTGTTCAAGCCTCCAAGTGGGAGATTGTTAAGATTTATGGAGTCTTGAATAAATTGACAAGTTCCTAAGAATTCAAGGGCCATAAATGAAACTTGTAAATTAAAACAATTGAATATTGAATTGGACGCACTATCAATTGTTTAATAATATTGAAGTGGACGGCGGCTCTATTTTGGACGGCTAAAGAAATCAACGCATTCTTTTTTCAAACTTTGCGGCATATATATATTCTAGTCAAATATAGCGGCAATTTGTGTAAACAAAAGAAAAAGGCTTACGGCTCTCTCCTATATATATATATGAATTGTAAGAAGAGCGATGTAGCGTAGAACAACAAAAGTGCTGAGTGATATTACCATTTGTAATCTTATAGTGAGTTAATATAAAATCTAGTTGCGCCCGTGGACGTAGGATTTACACCGAATCCGAACCACGTAAAATCCTTGTGTTCCTTCTTGCTTTATTTTCTCGTTTCGTTTGTGTGTGTGATAGTGTGTTTCCGCTGCGTGTACCCGGTCTCAATTCCTAACATAGGGATGATCCAATGCAGGTGAGTGTGAACAAAAAGTATAAAAGGGAGATGGTTTGCAACAAGTTGAAGTCATGATTCATATATGGAGCCATGAAAGAAAGGTTTGATACTTCAGTTGTTTGTGGATGTGTAATATTCAATGTTCAATGTTCATTATATATAGATGATCTCCAAGTTAATTTTTACCTTCCACCATACCTAGATAAGATGTCACATGGCTTTGAGCAAATTAAGGAGAACGTGAATATGTATCTGAAGAGTCAACTAACAGAGCCAAAGAAAAAAAAATACCACCAGAAGAGAAAATTTTGTAGCAAAATACAACGAAAAAAACTTCGTTTATTTGCGTATTAATAATCAAAAATTAAATTATTAAATGACCTGAATTACTATTGTCTTTTTCTGAAATTAATACAAGTTGGAATGTTAAAGACAACCGGTTATTCTTGTTATGTTTTTAAAAAATTTAGTATATATACTTTTACCTTTAGTTGGTCTTCGGTTTTGATTTTCATAACCTTCTGTCATTTGATGACTGCATCAAAAAAATTAGAAACTTGATATGTGGAAAGTGGAAAGTAGAAGCTCAGGGTTCGATCTTTTTCGTATTTCTATGAAGTGTTATCCAGATAAATGATTTTGTTTGGATGAAGTGTTCTAGCTATAAAGAATTTATTTCTTTTTTTAACTAAATAAAATATCTAAATGATGGTAAATGATCGTTTTTTCTTCTGTCTAAATTTGTGCTAAATAAAAAAAACTAAGTATCTTTGTGAAAAATGTTATGAATGTAAATTTTAGAGTAAATTACAGTTTCGGTCATTAGACACTTGTTTAGTCCAAGTTTTGAAAATTTGGTATGGATAATCCTCATGTTTATCATTTTCTTGTTTTTAGCATTACAATTTAATTCCATGTATGTATAGCATATTTTTTGAACGACTAATTCACACTCCTAATCTACTTCTAAATCTAGATCAGTTGAACCCTGATCAAACTATTGTGTTGAGGGATCCTTTCCAACAACTCCTTATATCACTACCGTCATATGCTATTTGGTGATATATAAGATAATTCCAAAGTTGTAGCAAAAATGAAGGGTTTTTCCAAAGTTGTAGCAAAAATGAAGGGCTTTTGTATTAATTTGCACATGTTATTATCATATTAAATAGATCTTAAATCATATTTCCACTCAAACAGTTTATATTTTTTTGATGAGATGAAGAATCAAATACAACAACAAAACCTTTGACACCTTAAAGACGGATGATTAATGTTTACTCAGACACAAACTTCTAAACGACCTTGCATATGATTGTAGATTGTATAGTTGGTTGTTCTTTTACAAAACATCTTGGAAAAAATTATGGTATGTATGATTATAATAATGTCCAAAATCATTTGTATTATGATATTTTATGCAAATCAAATCCTAGGAATTCGTCCCCGTGTTGTGTTTTCTAGTCCAATAATCTGCATACATGTCATTATCATTTTTTTCTGGAACAACGACAATATTATTCTACATGATGTTATTATCATAGATAACCTACTATGCAGGTTACATATCCCCATTCTATTGGAACTTTGAAAACCAACAAAGACTCGACTTTTGATCATGGAAAAGTTTAAATAATGACAACAATGGTGTATATCTTTACATATTTGTTTGACAACATTGTTGGAAATTTGTATTTGAAGTGGTATAATGACAAGAATATTGGAAAATATCAACTTTACATGGAAGTTTTTAAATAATGACACAGTGTACAATAATGAAGACAAAATACAGTGGGGCTCCAACAAACGTCTAGAATGGGCAATAAGATATTTATAGAATATAAACAATTCTATAAGACCGCTCAAAACTTATGTATTATTGATTTTACTTAAAAAGTAAATTAAATGGTGTTTGGGATTTGCTTATTTAAACAACTTTTTTTTTTTGTAAATATGATTACTAGTGGTTAACTGGTGTCAAAATGGAGTTTAAAAAAAATTGGATTTGCTTATTTGGCACCAAAGTATGAAATAACTTATCAAAAACTTATTTTTAAGACAATAAATGCTTTTAATATTCTTATATCCAAACACTAAACTTGTTTATGGGTGTCAAACCACAATAAATCAAGTCATATGAATAAATGTCAACAAACTACCTAAAGAATTTCAGGTTTAAATAAACCGGTTAAAATGGGCTAGAGACTGGTTATGGAGGGTCTACTTTTTTTTTCTTGAACGGCATTAAGGGTCTCCTGATTACAAAAGTTATAACATTAACATTATGAAGTCCAACCGGTTGATGGACTAGTTGGAGGTGCACAAATTGGGCCCTCAATCGGTTATAGTTAGTCCTTGTAACATCTTCAATTTCACGGCCAGAAAAAATCGATTTGTTTATTTTTATTTAAAATCAAAGTATCATCTTTGAGGAATAATATTGCGGAATTTGTTCTCGGAAAACATAATAATGATATTTAAAGCATTTCCGAAAAATGTATTTTATTTAT